TTTAATATTGTAAATAAAGTGTAGCACATGACTGAGTCAAAAACTGCTCTACTGCTGTATAAAAGATTAAAAATGAAATGCCTTACCTTCAGTGTACTGAGGCCGAAACAGTATGGTGTTCGCCAGACTGCTGTTCAGAGAAGACAGCTGCCACAAGCACTTGTCCTAAACATGACAAATAATTCTTCAGTTAAAGGCAAGCTCCACTATTGTTGTGAATTGTAGATTACAGACACATTCATTCCTTGATATTTGCATACTTTACAAGAAAGAAAGAAAACTTCTATACATATCTACTTGAGGCCTCAGTCATAAAACCAGTTGAAAAGCAGCATTTCCTCTGTATTACAGTAGTAGGTGTTTCAACACAGCAAAGCAATAATTACTGCAAGACAAAGAGCTCGTTCAGTTTAAACCTGAAATGTGTGATCACGTGATGACTATGATTGTGATGTATTAAAAATATTGACAATAACATGGTTAACTTAAAAATACCTTAAGTGACCAAAGCCTCTAACACTAAATGATAGTGTTAACACTGCAAAAGATTACAGTAAACAATGAATTATCAGTGGCACATAAAGATTGACTTTAAAACCTACTGTGAGCTCATCTTGAGGACTTTTGGCATGTTGATGAATTGTATCTCTGAATTTTCATTTTTTTTAACAAGCTACAAATTTTTCAGTTTGAAAAGTTAAAAGTCTTAAATTCGCCAAAACACGCCAGAAGTTCTGTATTTCTACAGTCTTTTTTCTAACAGCAGAATAGCAAAGATCTATGGTATCTGTTGTTAGCTAACACCGCTGACCAGGTCAGTCAGTTAAAATTAGCAGCACACAGAAAGATACATTGATTGACACAAATATTTTTTGAACCTTACCTTATTATTATTGTATAGAAGTAATCTGTCTTTGTCCAGTGGTAAAAATGCAAGCAGTCTCAGCAAATTCGGCGCACAAATTAAAAAAAACCGTTGCTTGTTGCGCATGCTCTCAAACCGTCCGTACTTCTTCTTCTGTTGTTTTGTTGCACATTAGCAACACATTAGCGCACTGCTGCCTCCCACTGGTGTATTAATGTCACCGGTTTTGTTGTGGCTACATGAATATTTTAAGTAAGAGTTACTCATTGCAGCAAGTAAGTTGTTTTATTCGCCTTAAAATTAGCTGTTACTTAACTAAGTAAAGATAACTAATTATATCCAAGTAAGGTAAACTATTGGATTTTACAGTGGATGTATTGTATCACCTTTTACCATATTCTTCAGAATGAAATGTTTGTTCAAATTACCCTGTTTGGCAAGTTGTGTGTGTGTGTGCGCAAGTTTTTGTGACATATGAGGACACAAAATTTGTATAATGACATGGGTATGACATAGGTATTACAAGGAGAAGGTGATTTATGAGGACATTACCCCATGTCCCCATTTTTCAAAACACTTATAAATCATACAGAGTGAGTTTTTTTGAGAAAGTAAAAATGCACAAAGTTTCCTGTAAGGGGTAGGTTTAGGTGTAGGGTTGGTGTAGGGCAATAGCACATACAGTTTGTACAGTATAAAAACCATTACGCCTATGGAATGTCCCCACAATTCACAAAAACAGTGTGTGTGTGTGTGTGTGTGTGTGTGTGTGTGTATACGTGTACGTGCACGTGTGCATGTGCGTGTGTGTGTGTTAATTCATTCTCTGAAGCAAACACAGTATCTGCTGTAAGAAATGTCAAATTCAATCCAAAAATCTCTGTTAGCAACATGTTTCCACTAGCTGACCAAATTATTTTACTTTCAGTTAAAAACCAATTATATACATTATCTCTGATGTAGCTGCCAGTAATGCCTAAACCGGTTCCTCTGGGTTTGAGGACAGTGAATGAATGTAGAACAAAGATCATAAACACATCAAAACTGACAATTGCAAAGAACTGGCGAGGTTTCAGTTTCATTTATCTTAAAATCTTAGTAAACCACTTATTATCGTCCCAATTATTCTGAGTTGTGATCAGAGTTTAATCACTAAACATTTCATTCAAAAATCATGTCATTAAAGACTTTTTTTTAATTCAAAAGAATATGGGATTCAAACACAATTATAAAGAGAACTTGTATTTTAATCTTACAAAACAAAACAAACAAAAAAGAGAAAACTATTTATTCATAAATATTCCATTTTGTGTAGCCTGCAGCTCTGTGTACATTCTGAAAACAAAATAAGACTATATCTTTCATATTCATCACACAGACAGATGATTTACTCTGCTGCGACTAATATATCATTATCAGTGTACACAAATGTAATAAATATAGCATTTAGCATCCAAGTATTAGACAAACATTTCAAAAGACGAAACATTAAAAATTGTAAAAACAATTATTTTCAACCCATTTTGACAAGTCACCTCATCACATTTTAAAGAGACACAGGGTGTAACTATACATTTGTTTTAATTGCTGGAAGAAAAAAAAGAAAATATAAGAAATGGCTTACTTACTCTTTCTAGCACTCCTTTTTCTGTCACAAGAAAGCAAAAGTGAGCGTATTTATACATGTGAGATTTCAAAGAAAACAATATAATTAATTAGCCACACACTCACACACACGCACAAAAAGAAAAATGCAGCTAAACCTGAAGGCATGTCTAAAGAAGTGAGTAGGTCTGAGTAGAGAAAAGGTCTGTCTGATTCAACATGAATAGGTGTGATGGAATCTCTCCACTTCTTTCTCATTGAATTCTACAAAAGAGACAGAAAATTGCACTGTTCCACATGTACCCTCATATACTTCAATGACAAATTATATTAAATGATAGTGCCCAAAACATAACAGTATAAGAACAATAAATCATTTTAATTAACATTTAATGACCATTGTATGTCAACTGTAATGTAGAGTTTAGCTTCTATTTGGCAAAATAATTTTACTGTAAAATAATTCTTAGCCCAAAGTTTTCCTGTCCACCATGATATGCAAAATATCTGTGCCATAATGTTATTAACTGTTGAATTGCAAACACAAACAAATTTAAATTGTAAAGTAATTTGTCTATATACTACATACAACCACTTCAATTACAATTAAATGCTTTTTTATTTTTTACAAATCTCATCCTATTTCCATTTTTGAAGCACACTGCACACTGTAAACGTGAAAGCCACATAGAACTGTATTTGTCCATTTATGCCTGTACACAGTTCATCAGTTTTCTTCAAAGTTGTGCTCACGTCTGCTATGTAAGACTCAAAGTTATTAACAGACAAAGTCGAGAATCATCACTGTTGAAGAAAACAAGACTTCTAGAACAATTTACTCCGTTTTTATTAAATCATTAAAAAATAATCATTTGAATAAGTCTGATTCCATAAATCAAACAAGAAAAAAATAAAAGCTATAAGGTAAACAATATAAACATATTTTCCAAATGAACCCAATTCATTCCATTCACACAAAATCATTTATATTGATTAAACAGGTTAGCTATATGGATCACTTGTGTGGCAGACCTGCAGTGAACTTCTACATAGCAAAAGGCGGGACACCAGTCATAATTGGGCCCATCTGGACTGCAGGACCAGCTCCTACCGGTGCGGCGCCGATCACTCTCGGCTGCTGCATAGCGACAAATTGTGGGTTGACTGCCATTGGAACTGGTTGAATCATGGGATTTCTTTGCAATATTCTGACAACTTTTTTGCGTGCTTTGATTTCTCTACTCATCTGACACCAAGAACACCAGATACAACAGCAAGTCATCATGATGTCCTCACAGATACTGCCCTGTTGCAACACATACAAACAAATGATTGTTCTGCGGCCCTCTTTCTTATATTGGTAGAGGGACAGGAAAAACTCACCCCAATATGATACTTGTAGCGAACTGCCACCCTCATTGCCAGACCCACAGGCGGAACACATAGTCCAATTCCAAATGCGGCCATGAGAGCTGGGCCGAATATGTCCAACAGAGGGAGACAAGTGCTCTCTCCAAAATTTCCTGTGGTGGCGCAGGTAAAGCAAGGAAAGCACCAGTACGCAAAGCAGCCTGAGGACCAAAAATGCACATAATGTGATATAATTTGCATCTAATTCTAATGAACAGTAAAAAAAAAAAATGGATCTGTGATATTTATTATAAGGCCTTCAAGCATACTTACAAGAATTCAAGTCCTCACAACAGTCACATATTCCTGAATTCCAAGCTTCCATCCTATCCTTGCCGAGAGGCTGCTGCACAACTACAGTCGCCATAATGACTTTATCTTACTGGTATGGAAAGATGACAAGAATGTTAAGGTTTCCCTGATCCTAGTGATATATGTTATTTTAAACTACTCTCTGATTAAAATACTCAAACCTAAGTAAATGGTCACTGAAAACCGGCACTGTAAACTGAACTTCTGCACTGATGATCACACTTAAGAAAAAGAAAAACAAGATATCGTATTACAAGCCATTTTTGGTGAAGACCCAACTAAAATGATTGAGTTTACTTAAGAAAGCTAAAGGAATTTAAAGAATGTTGTTACATTTTGTATAATCGAATGAATTATGGACAGTCTATTGAATTAGGTTTAGTAATGCAAGGAATTCTAGTTGTATACAAATTCAAAAGCATGCATGCATGCATTGCAGTCACCTTTTGCAACATTGCATAGAATGAAACTGTACTAAACAGTTCTAACAACCCTGTTTGGCAAGTTCAGAGTTGGACAACATTTGGGGAAATACTGTTGATGTATGTTTTATGAAGGTTGAATGTAATTCAACTTTGGAAACTAAAGTCAACTTAGATCCAGAAATCTTTGTTAGCAACGTGTTTAAAACAGTTTCCACTAGCTGACCCAAATATTTTATGCACACTTTAAGTTTTTCATAGTTCAAAAATAACTATAAAAAATAAGACCTTTCCTCTGATGTATAACTACAAAGTTTTTTTAAGGCTTGTGAGGACAGTGAATGTATATGAATGTACAACAAAGATAACAACCACAAAATAAATAAATGTAATCTATTTATCTATTGTCAAATTTCCAAATTAATGAATATCGTTCTATCAGATATTTGTTGTATAGTGATCAGAATAATGTTTAATTATTAGATTTTTTTAATTCAAAAGAATATAAAATCTAGCATTGTAGAATGCTACAGAATTACAAAGAAAATGTAATTGTATACACACTCTGTGTACATTCCTAAAATAAAACAAATTCTTTCATATCCATTGTACTTACAGATGATTTACAGATGAGTCTGTTGTGTCTAATATATGGTTTTCACATTTCACCCATAATTCATGTTCAGGGTGCATACAATCATATCAATAGTGTGAAATGATTTTGTGTTCAGGTTTGCAAAGTAATTTACAAAAAGAACATTAACTAATTAATAGTGTACACAAATATAATAAATAGGCAATTTAGCATCCGAGTAGTAGACAAACATTTCAAAAGAGGAAACGTTAACATTCTAAAAAAAAAAAAAAAAAAAAAAAAAAAAAAAAAAAAACATACAAAAAGGTCTTTTTCCAACCCTTGTCAAAAAAAAAAAAAACAGAATGTAAATTATACATTTGGTTTAACTGCTGAAAAAAGAGTGAAACAATAAGAAATGGCTTACTTACTCGTTCTAGTGCAGCTGATCCTTTTTCTGTCAAAAGAAAGTAAAAAGTGAACGTATTTATATATGCAAGATTTCTTTACTGGGAAAAAAAAAACTGAAGCATAGAAAATATGCTGCTAAACCTGAAAACATGTCCAGTAAAGTGAGTAAAGGGAAAATGGGGGTTGTGTTGTCTGATTCAGTGTGAATGGATGTGATTGAAATCTCTCCTCCCCTCGCTCTTTGCATTCTTACAAGAGAAACAGAAAATCAACAGTTCATAACACAGAGGTAAATGAAGGAGAATGTGGAACTATGACAAATAATATTAAAAGATAGGGCCCCATGTGTATAGAATTAATCAAAGATCAATATATAATGTTTAATTAACATTTAAAAAACATTGTATATAAATTGGAGGCAGTTTGTCAGCTGACCTATGGATTTGATACCAAATGACAAGTAAAGCCTTTTACTGTAATATCAACACAAGGAGCACAAAAATGTAATCAAATGAATTATATATATATATATATATATATATATATATATATATATATATATATATATATATAT